AACTTTTTAAAATGTTACTTTGATTAAAAAAACAGTTAAGATGTATTAATTAATACATCTGAATGTGTCAATTTTACATTGCGTTCAAAATCAAATGCTTTTTTTTTTTTTTTTTGGCTATATATATGAAAGCAACTTTAGTTAACTTTTTAAAATGTTACTTTGATTAAAAAAACAGTTAAGATGTATTAATTAATACATCTGAATGTGTCAATTTTACATTGCGTTCAAAATCAAAGTCACTGTTAGAGAACTAGTCTTCTTTTCACAAACTAATAACAATTTTGTGGGGGGTTTTTTTATTTGTATTTTAGCTCAAACTCCAGAATCCAGCCGTAAGTTAATTTTCAATTTTTCAAATCTGCTTTGGTGTCCAAGTTACAAGGTAGACTTTTGAGTTCTCAGGCTGACTTTTGAGTTCTCAGGCTGTTATAATGTCAAGCATTTTAATCACTCTGGACTACCTTCAAACCAAACCCACTGCCATCAATGCAGTAAATCATTGCAGAAGTAGATTGCCCAGACTTGCTTCCGTGGAGTGGTTGATGGGTTTGAACCACCAACCTTTTGGTTAGCAGTCAGATGCTTTAGGCACTGTGCTACCAGAGCTGCTTCTAGACTACATTGTTGCTGTTGTTTTTATATGCCATTGAGTGGGACCTGACTCATAGCAACCCCTCCTTGGGTTTCTGAGGCAGTATCACTATGGAAGTAGATTGCCCAACCTTCCTTCCAAGGAGTGTTTGGGGGGTTTGAACCACCAGCCTTCTGGTTAGCAGTCTAGACTACACTAGGAAAAGAAAATATTAATTACACTCATGTCCTTGTCTGTAGTCTAGAAAATATCTTAGGATACGTCACTATCCTTTCTGCTTTTAATCTGTAAATGACTTGGTCTGCCAAGTGTGAAGCTTTTGAGTTTTCAGATATTATGACTGTTATTGTAAATCTACCCATGAGGAGAGAGTACAAGAACCCATATTAAGCAGATGGAAAATGGGCACTGTCTATTCTTCCCCTCAGAAACTCACTTAAATGACTGAGAAAGAATAATAAAAGGCATCAATGAGAAAAATGTTCTAAGAAAGTCCCCCAAAAAAAACTAAAAAATTAATTGAAAACCAAAACCAAACCAAACTCATTGCCGTCGAGTCGGTCCTGACTCACAGTGACCCCTCCTTGGGTTTCCAAGGCAGTATCTCTACGGAAGTAGATTGCCCAACCTTCCTTCCGAGGATTGGCTGGTGGGTTTGAACCACCAGACTTCTGGTTAGCAGTCAAATGCCTTAGGCACTATACAACAAATTGTGCACAAGATGATGGCATAATACATGATTCAGCTATTACCATTATTTACATGGTCATGATATTGCTAAAATGATCTACTGATTCACTAACAAAACAGTAGTGTATGTTTGTTGGAAAGAGTAAGAGAGGGCAATGAATTGGGGAAAGGTAGCAAAAGAGGTCAACCTTTGTGTCCCATAGTAGGACAGCAATATAAATTATTCAAATTTGAGAAATCATGAACTATCATAAAAACATTCTATGATCAGTTATTAGTTAAATAGCTCCCTACTCCCAACCCTCCCAAAATAAATGTATGTGAAAAGGAAATTGGAGATAAGAAAGAATGGATCAGAGATCTGGTGTTTTTATTTACCTGATATAATTTCACTTCTATAACAAGTACATGTAGAAAAATTGTTAGTAGAAAAATTAAACTTAAATAAAATTTAAACTTAAATACTTCTTGTAAATTTCTCATTCTATTAAATGATTTTAGAAAGATAATAAGGAAAACTATGATTTTTTAACGGAAATCCAATATGTATATTTTAATTTTAAGTTTTCTTCTATTTCAATTGTGACTTTGAAAGATATCATTAAATCACTCATTTGAATCCAAATTTTATGTGCTTTCATTACCATCTGATAGGGACTTTTGTGTTCTGGCTGTAATCACCTGTAATTTTATAAATCCTCCCAGTAGAGAAAATAGCTATTTACATGATTATTTATGTTTGTTTTTGTAGGCATTATCTCGGGACAAACTAGTAAGTTCCTTCTCTGTCCTTTACCTCTAGAATGCTTTCGTCTCTTAGGAATGGAAAAAGGAGGTTGTGTTTTTATGCTTGTTTTTGCTACAGTACCTGCCAGCAACCATTTTATGGATTCCCTCATTTTTTTAAAAGAGTATTCCTGGGGCACTAAGGTTGAAAATAAAAGTGTGAAAAGCTTCCTTTTCCCCCATATATACTAGATTAAGAGAAAAGATATTTTTTAAAGGCAAAATTGAAACATCTGAGAAATAAAACCACTACAAGAAAGTGAAAACTTGAGACAAATCTTAAAGCTGAAAAGCAGATAGATGGGTAAGTAATAACTAACTTAGCTGATACACAGAGCATGAGTCCTAACTAAATTCAAGAGGGCTAATTCTAAATAAGGAGCTCTGGGAGCATAGTACATAAGGCACTTGACTGCTAACCAGAAGGCTGGCGGTTCAAACCCACCAGCTACTCCTCAGAAGGAAAGCTGGGCAATCTATTTCTATAGTGATACCACCTCAGAAACGCAAGGAGGGGTCGCTATGAGTTGGGTCCGACTCAACAGCACATAACAACAAACAACATCAACAATCCTAAAAAGCTAATCCTAAACAGCAGAAACCAGTATAGCTCAGAATTATCAGGAGTCAGGTAACAATTTCGTCAAGGGTGTAAAGATTGGGCTGCAGACGGGATGATTAGCTGCTGTTGCTGTGTACCATGCAGTCAATTCTGACTCACAGTGACCCTACAGGACAGAGTAGAACTGCCCCATAGGGTTTCCTAGGCTGTAATCTTTACAGAAGCAGATTGCCAGGTATTTCCTCTGTTGGAGTAGCTAGAACTACTAACTTTTGGTTCCTTAACTGAGCACTTAACCACTGAGCCACCAGGGTTCTTTTTGATTAGCTGTAGGCCTGTCACAATAAAGCCAATAAACCAAACCAAAATGTTGTCAATTCCAACCAGGCCTTTCTTCTGAGTTGCCTTTGGATGAATTTGAACAAACAACCTTCCAGTTAGTAGTAAAGTGCTTAACAGTTTACACCACCTAGAAACTACCACCACTGAAAACAGGTCTATATAAATCAACTCCTCATTCCTCTCAGTCAAGCTTCAACTCTGGTACTTACATTTTTCTAGAGTAGAAGAAAAGGGGTAATGCTCCAGAGAGGCTGTATCAAAGGAACCTTGGATATGGGGACTCCACATACATCCTGCATGTTTCCCCAGTGTACCCAAATGCAAATGAAATGGACTTTGCAGGTGTGATTAAATTAAGGATCTTAAGATGGGAATGATGGCATACCGATTGAGATATTTCAACAAACAGATGCCCCATTGGAGGCACTCACTCAGTTATGCCAAGAGATTTGGAGGACAGCTACCTGGCCAACTGACTGGAAGAGATCCATATTTGTGCCCATTCCAAAGAAAGGTGATCCCACAGAATGTAGAAATTATAGAACAATATCACTAATATCACATGCAAGTAAGATATTACTGAAGATAATTCAGAAACGTTTGCAGCAGTATATTGACAAGAGAACTTCCAGAGGTTCAAGCCGGATTCAGAAGAGGACGTGGAACAAGGGATATCATAGCTGTTGTCAGATGGATCTTGGCTCAAGGCAAAGAATACCAGAAAGATGTTTACTTGTGTTTTATTGACTATGCAAAGGCATTTGATTGTGTGGATCATGACAAATTATGGATAACATTGAGAAGAATGGGAATCCCTGAGCACTTGATTGTACTCATGAGGAATCTGTACCTTGACCAGGAGGCTGTCGTTCGAACAGAACAAGGGGACACTACATGGTTTAAAATCAAGAAGGGAGTACGTCAGGGTTGTATTCTTTCTCCACACTTATTCAATCTATATGCTGAGCAAATAATCCGAGAAGCTGGACTATATGAAGAAAAACGTGGTATCAGGATTGGAGGAAGAATCATTAACAACCTGAGATATGCAGACGATACAACTTTGCTTGCTGAAAGTGAGGATGACTTAAGGCACCTACTGATGAAGGTTGAAGAATACAGTCTGCAGTATGGATTACATCTCAACATAAAGAAAACAAAAATCCTCACAACTGGACCAATGAGCAGCATCACAATCAATGGAGAGAAGATTGAGGTTGTCAAGGAATTCACATTGCTTGGTTCTACAATCGATGCCAACGGAAGCAGCAGTCAGGACATTAGACGTCGTGTAGCATTGGGAAAGTCAACTGCGAAGGAACTGTTTCAAGTGCTGAGGAGCAAGGATATCTCCTTGAGGACTAAGGTGCGCCTGACACAAGCCATGATATTTCCAATCACCTTGTATGCATGTGAGAGCTGGACAATGAATAGGGAAGACCGAAGAAGAGTTGATGCTTTTGAGTTGTGGTGCTGGCGAAGAATGCTGAAAGTACCATGGACTGCTAAAAGAACTAACAGATCTGTCCTGGAGGAAGTGCAGCCAGAATGCTCCTTGGAAGCAAGAATGGCCAGACTTCGTCTCACCTATTTTGGTCATGTTGTAAGAAGGGACCATTCCCTGGAGAAGGATGTCATGCTTGGTAGGGTGGAGGGTCGACGAAAGAGGGGGAGGCCTTCAACGAGATGGATTGATACAGTGGCTGCGATGATGGGCTCGAGTATAGCAGGGATTGTGGGGCTGGTGCGGGATCGGGCAGTGTTTCGTTCTGCTGTGCATGGGGTTGCTATGAGTCGGAAACGACTCGACGGCACTTAACAACAACAACAAGATGGGAAGATTTTCCTGGATTAGTCACTGGGGCTCAGTGTAATCACAAGGACCCTTATAAAATGGAGATCAGAGTCAGACAAAAGATGTGATGATGACAACAGGGGTTGGACAGATGCCCTGTGAAGTAGGAAGACAGGGTCACAAGCCAAGGAATGTAAGTAGCTTCTAGAAGCTGGAAAAGGCAAGGAACCAGTATCCTCCAGAGCCTCCAGAAAAAAACAGGCCAGCTAACATCTTAACGCTATCCCACTGAGATTGGTATTGAACTTATAACCTCCAGAACTGTAAAATAATAAATTTCTGTTGTATAATCCACTAAGTTTGAGGTAATATGGTTCTGTAGTAATAGAAAACCAATACACTACATTAACAGAAAAAAAGAGAAAAATCATATAATCATCTCAATAGATGTAGAAAACATGTTTAATAAAATTCAACATGGAGTAATACTTTAAAAAAAATAGCAAATTAGACATAAAAGAAAATTTCCTTAATCTAAAGAGCATGTTTAAACAAACTAACTCTCACTCACTCACTGCCACCAGGTTGATTCCCACTCATAGCAACCCCCTTTGGGTTTCCGAGGTGGCAAATCTTTACGGAAGTAGATTGCCCAGTCATCCTTCCATGGAGTGGCTGGTGGATTTGAACTGCCAACCTTCTGGTTAGCAGTCAAATGCCTTAGGCACTACACCACCAAAGCTGCTTACGGGCAACCTCATATTTAATAGGAAATTTTTTAAATTTTTCCTCGCAGATCAGAAACAAGACAAGAATCCCCACTATTATACCTTATTTTCAAACAGACTTGGAGGTGTAAGACAACTCAATAAGGAAAGAAAATGAAATAAAGGGCATCAAGGTTTTAAAGAAAAAAAAAAATTGACCTCAATTTTTCAGACAATATGATGATACATACAACAAATACAAAACACCCCACAGATACATTATTAGAATTAACAGTAATGTTTAACAAGGTTGCTAGATACAAAGACAATATAAACAAATACATATAATTCTACATACATAGAAAAAAATTAGAAAATGAAATCTTTAAAAAAAATGATACCACTCAGAGTAGCATTGAAAGTAATAAGTACCTAAGTAGAAATCAAATAAGAGAAATACAAGACCTCTATGCAGAAAACTATAAAACTTAACCTGCTTTTACTCCTTGTCTTGTGGCCCCTTCCTTCATCTTCAAAGCACATCACTACAACCTTTGTATCTGTTATCATCTCTCCTCTCTGATCCTGCCCCCTTGCCTCCCTCTTACAAGGATCCTGTAATTACACTGAATCTCTCTAGATAACTCAAGAAGAATTATGACAAAATAAGTGAGTGATAGTTAGTTAGTTAGAATTATGAAGAATTACATCATATTCATGGATTGGAAGGCTCAATATTAGAAAAATGATGATTCAAAATTTTTGCTAATGATTAAATGAAATCAAAACCTAAAGAAGTTTATATAGTGTGTGTGTGTGTGTGTGTGTGTGTGTGTGTGAAAAGTGACAAACTGATTCTAAAACATACCAAGAAAAAAAAAAATACGCAAAAAAACTTCAAACAAAACCAGAAAAAAAAAAAAAAAGTAAAGAACTATGTAGAACCAAGACACTCTTGAAGAAGAACAAGGTAAGAGAACATACTCTATTGGGTATTGTCTTATTATAAAGTTCCTTTAAATAAGGCAGAGTACTATTAGGGTGAAGATAGACAAATGGACCACAGAAACAAAACAGAAAATCTAGAATCAAAATTGTTAGGAAAGTGTGGAAGTACAGAAGTTAAAGTGAAAATAAGAAGAGTAGAAAATAACCATGACCTTGACAGATCAGATCAGATTTTATTGAAGAAAAGTCGTGAGGGAGGACTCTAGTAGCAATATGAACAATGCCAGTCGCAGAGTAGAGCCGTGCCTGGGGGAAGTGTTGCCTCCTTTTATAGGGACCTCGGGTGAGCAAGGGGTTTTGCAAGAGTTGCAGTTTTCAGGAAGTCGGGTTGTTTTTGACAAGGGTGGGGGGGTGTCGGCAGGTGGAACTTATCCTTGAGGTTTCACAAGGGGTCTGCAGATGGAATTTATCTTTGAGGTTTCACAAGGCGGGGGAGGGTGTGGGGTCTGCAAGCGGAGTTTATCGCTAAGGTTTCTCAAGGCAGGGGAGGGTGGGGGGCTGCAGGTGGAATTTATCTTTGAGGTTTCAGGGTGTCTTAGCCAAGTTTAGAGTAGCCAGTTCGGTCCTTCAAA